TATAGTATAATTATAGAGAGACATATGTAATGTCTTCTCAGTTGCTGCTCTCTCTCTTTCTTCTTACTTTTCCTCTCCGTTTCACTCTCTCTCTCTCTCTCTCAATCCATCTTCTTGCCGTAACTGTGAGCCAACCTGTTGTAGCTCTTCCACACCCCCTAAACTTTCTCCTTCAGAGGTATTTGCTTCATTCATTCACTCTCTCTTTCTCTCACACACCCTCTTACCGTCTCTTTCTAGGCCGTCTTGGATTCTCACACTCCTCGTCCTGGGACGTTGCACTACAGCGTGTGGAGTCCCATAACCTGTTCTTGGATTGGATTATTACCTAATGGATCGCCAGCAGACTGGGTCTGTTTCAAGCAGGCAGCAGTTTTGCATTTGAGAGGAGGACCATGGTGCAGGGTACAGTTGGAAAGGTGAGTGAAGGTTTCTAGACGAACTTTTCAGCCCAATGCCTCACAATGCAGAAAGCAGTATATCTATCTAGCTCTCTGCCAAGTTTCTCTTGTTCGTTTTCTCTTTTTGGCGCACTCTGGATGTGGGCCATTTTCTCAGAGTTGTTCTCAACTAGTTTTACTTCATGATCCAGACATTCTTGGATGTCAGGTGGCGATTTAACACAGTACCAAACCTAGATTCAGTTTTTACTATTTTCTTTTACCTTGTGTTGTTTTGTTCATGAGTTTTCAGGATGAAGCTATGCCAAGCAACCTGTCCAAGTTGGCATCTGTCTAATTTGGCTTCAACCAAGCAACATATGAACTGACTCTAAAATATTGTAGAGTTTGTAGAGAATGCATGACTTTTGATGTCAACAACAATGTGGGAAATGTTTTCTATGTCTATTTATGTTGCTATCCTAATTATATTTGCATTGTAGCATTAGCATTTAACATTGTTTTTTACTACTAACCGCAAACCAATCAAAACAGACCATTTTGGGGTCATGACCCTTCAGTTGAGAACCACTACTGTAAGTGCTCTTTTAATGTTCATTTTCTCAAACATCTACTGATCAAAGCTAGCATGATTTGACCCAAATTCATTTATTTGTTTAATGCATTGTTTGATTAGGTAATTGTAGAACAAAATCAGAGACTCCATCCACCGTATGCCGTTCCACTCCATTTACCGCTGCATCTGACGGCTTCAATAGCCCCGCTAATGCAACTAAAAAGCCTTGAACCAATTGGTAGAGTGTGTTGGTGATGTCTCCAGTCTGATAGCTTTTTCCTCCATGCACAGGCTTTTACACACCCCTCGAAGTCGAGCGGCACTCCAGATTTAGTCGTAATGTCATAGATGAACCGCATAAAGTCACTTCATTACTGCACGCTGGCGGCCTGCCTCTTCCTGCAGCTGATAAGCCTCCGCAAACAGCGTCCTTTCCAGCTTTTATAGTGAGCGAGCGAATATTGGGAGCATGCATTTGGATATTTGTACTACAATAGATGTTTTGTGAGGACGTTCCTCCCACTATCTTAAAATCTTTCTTCGCTGAAGCAGCAATTAAAGATTTCTGGCTTATCTCATGAATGGCCGCTTTTGAACTTTGTGTTCATGTTTGATTTAGTGCATTCACTATTAGCGCATTCATGGACTACAACAATTGCCATCTCTGTGTGTGCACTAGTGTGTTTTTGGACGCTTTTAAGAAATGTTTTTCGCCCTAGTGTGTGTGTAACACTTAATTTAGAGCTGCAGACATAATCTTCTGCGAAGTGGCCGTGTTCAGAAATGACTAACAAACAGCAGGGTTTACAGAGAGAGCAAAAAGGGGCTTGGGTCGGCTCCTGTACCTTTATAATCCTTCAAAGTGCACAACGCTCACCTCTCCGGTCGGCCTGCACTCGTGAGATTACATTCTTTGCTGCATGACTTTGCTGAATGCAAGTTGCTGTGCAGCAGGCGTCAGAAAAATATCCCTTGAGTCACGGCGGTAGCACCTTCCTGTCTGTACGTTGATGCGAATTATCGCTTGTTCAATCAGATTCATTCATAAATCGCACAATCAGACGGCGGCCTCCAAAGTGCAGCAATTCAAAAAGTCTTATCTGCCCCGTCCAGAGTACCGGAGTCTATGAAAAGTCATGTAAACTGACTGCGGTACAGAAGTGCTTGAGGTTACATGCTCAAACAGGACTGAGTTTGAATGGTATGTGTCGAGCTCATGGCCCTGAAGTTTCTTGATGAAAAATCTGGCTGTGTTCCACTGCATCTGATAGGAAAACATGCCTTCTCCGCTAATTTTGTATGCTGAGGGTATCTGACCTGCATGGAAGTGTCCGTGATCATAATAAAAAGTTTTATCACTATGTAAAAATGCTTTATGGACTCCCATGTGCACCCAAGAGAAGTTAGTTAAAGTCATCGAACCCTTGCAGCTGCATTAATTTTGTGGACTGTCAGACTCGTTCCTGCACATTAGAAGTGGCAGTTGTGCAGTAAAGCATTGCATTAGCATGGCTGTGGTTTCTGCACAGCTTGACAGTGCTGTCTGTTGGCTGAACAGAGACTCTGTAGTTGTAATATCCCCCACAGATGTAACCTGACAAAGCCCCAGCGGCTCTGTGCAAGATCATTGATTCCGTATGGTGTGTAGTTAGTTAGCGCAGTATTTGGAATGACAGCGTTTATTTGGCTAGAAAGCTGTTCACCTGTCTGACACCTCTGGATTTTGCTTGAAGAGCTTTCACAGTTTGGAATTAGTTGTGATTTCCAAGGATGAAGAGATTTTGCCATAATTAAAGCTTCTCAGAAATTTGGAGATTTTGTTTTCAGTTATGTATTCGGTTGGTCCAGGATTCACAGCTCCTCAACTACAGAATACAGTAGCCTGTTTATTGTCACATTGTGAGATATTTCTTGTCACAATCACTAGAAATAAAGTAATTGTGACATGTAAAGTGACATTATGAGATATTAAATCACAATTATTGCATATAAAGTGACAAAGTGTGAGATATTAAGTCAGAAATATGACAAGTCACAGTTATTCAATATAACACAATCACAAGAACTTAAGTCATAATTGTGACATAATGGCCTGGTTTCACAGACAGGGCTTAGACTAAGCCAGGATTAGGCCATAGTTACATTTGGATATTAAAGTAATTTTTATAAAGTGCCTTAGAAAATAGGCTTGATTTTTGTCTTGAGACAAAACAAAGGCACTGATATATTTTAAAGGGGTCATATGATGTTAGTGCAAGTTAATTTCAGTTAAAACAGCTCAGACTTACATTTTAGTCTGGGACTAGACTTAAGCCTTGTCTGTGAAACCGGGGGATAAAGTCATATTGTGAGATATTAAATGAAAATGATCACATAAAAAGACAATGTGACATATTAATTCACAATTCTGATCTATAGTCACATTATAAGTTATTAAGTCAGAATTATGGCATGTTAAGTCACTTTGTATGATATTAATCACGAGAAATAAAGTCGCAACTGTGATAGTCACATTCTCAAGAAATAAAGTTGCTATTGTGACATATAAAGCCACATTCACAAGAAATAGTCACAATTATGACAATCACAAAGTGAGATATAAAGTCATGATTATGACAGACTATGAATTATGACAAAATCACATTGTGAGATATTAATCACAAGAAATGTTGCAATTGTGATATAGTCAATCAAAAGAAATGCATTTGCTATTGTGACATAAAGTCACAATCACAAGAATCACATTGTGAGATTTGAAGTCACAGTTATGACAGTCACATTATGAGATATTAAATCACAATTCTGAGACATTAAGCTGACTTAAAAAGTCATATTGTGAGATATTAAGACACAGTTGTTACAAAGTCACAGTGTGATATATGAAGTTACATTGTAAGATATAAAGTCATAATCATGAGAAATTAAGTAACAATTATAACACAGTCACATTGTAAGCTTTTGTAGGATTGTATGATATAAAGCCACAATTTCAAGAAATATAGTCACAGTTCCTGAGATATAGTAATCTGTGAAAAATCATTTTGGAGTTCTGAGATATAAAGTCACAATTACAAGGTGCTTTTGTGTGACTACTTCCAAATTATGACAGAATTAGCAATTTCTTGATACACTGGTAAAGACCTAATTTTCCTTTCAGATAAGAGAATTTTAGACAAATGGATTTTTGGACAAGTTACATCAAAGAATTGGTGTCCTTGAGGGGAAACCATCATCCATCTTTTAAAACAATTCTGGAACCTTCTGTCCTGAAGGCAGTTCTGTTCTGGAATTCTTGACTCAGAATGACTGTACTGAATGACAGGATCAGTATTTTCACTGCAGTTCTCACCTTACGCTCTGGACCACACACAGACATGAATATCAATGAGCAGTCTAAGCCTGTTAAGTTGAACTACACACTTGGTGTCTTTCACAAAGGTCAGGTTTGTTGTGATACTCTGACCTCAATGTCAACTACGTTGTGTGATAGAACCTGCTGAAAGTGCCGAGTCACTGTCATTGTATTGTTAGACAACTTTCTTAACCTTAAACAATTATCTTTTATTTGAATAATACCTGTCTCTATCTAAGTGCTATTCATTTCTTAACCGGCGCTCAGCAGGCCTGCGCAGCCATATCTGACAGGATAAATGTGCCGGATTATACAGGCGATTTTCAGCGAAGATTCAGACTCCGCTAACAGAATAGATCAAAACGATTATTCTGAATGTGTGTATATGCATATGTATGACGATACCGATCTCTCTTCCTCTGTTTTACAGATAAAAGGGAGAGAGCGTAGCAGCTAAATAAAGCGGAGAACAAGCCCGTCTCAGGACATCAGTCCAAAGAAGAGGATCTGCCGGCAGAGAGATAAGAGGGGGAGGACAGGGAACGAAAGAGAGAGTCGGAGGACGAGAGAGAGAGAGAGAGAGAGAAAAACATTGACTCTACTAACAGAATAGATCAAAACGATTATTCTGAATGTGTGTATATGCATATGTATGATGATACCGATCTCTCTTCCTCTGTTTTACAGATAAAAGGGAGAGAGCGTAGCAGCTAAATAAAGCGGAGAACAAGCCCGTCTCAGGACATCAGTCCAAAGAAGAGGATCTGCCGGCAAAGAGATAAGAGGGGGAGGACAGGGAACGAAAGAGAGAGTCGGAGGACGGGAGAGAGAGAGAATGGGATATTGCGGCATGTGGATCTTCCTCTTGTCTCTGTCTCTCTTCTATCAAAGCGCCACTGCAGAGGCTGAAGGTAGACTGCTGACTCACGCTTTATCTACATGCGATAGGGCCTCTTCAGTCCCCAGTGAACTGCCAATATACCGCCCTTCAATCAATCACACTCTGAAAAGGTTGCAGGCAGGGTCCAAAATGAACACTTGCCAAGCACTAAATGCGGGTAAAATTTGGTGAGCAACTAAAATTGAGTTAATCTCAGTAGACATAATGATATACAACCTTTTGTGTTAGGATGCGAGTTAAAAGTGAAAAAGAAGGAAAACTTCCAAGAAGAAAAAATGTAAATGTTGTAAATTCCTTCTTATTTCTTTAGTTCTGGATTTGACTAGCATTTAAGAAATGTTTACTCCAGAATTTCATATAAATTATTTTTTAAATGATATATAGATAAGTTGATATGCTAGATCCTAGTTAATAAGTTGGACCAGACAAATACGTATGCTGAAGTTAGACAACAGAAACACCAAATTATATTATTTTATTTTATTTTATTTATTAGTTGAATAATTAATCACTAAATAGCTTTTTATCTATTCAATTTAATTATTTTATTTTATTTTATTAGTTGAATAATTCATCAGTTACTTCCATGTCAGTGCTTATCTAATTAAATTTTCATTTTATTTTATTTTACTTTTACTGATGTCACTCTGTACTATTTTTGTCCTGAAAAAAGCCCCCTTTATTTTATGTTTTACTTTGTTTTATATGTTGTTATGTATTTGTAGTTGCATATTTTTTTGTATTTTTTATATTTGTATTTTATTCAATTTTGTTATTAGTTGAATCATTTACAGAATAATCAATTACTTCAATGTCAGTGCTTTTTGTCTATTAAAATTTAATTTAATTTTATTTGTATTTATTACTTGAATAATTAATCCGTTACTTCAGTGTTAGAGCAATTTATCTTTTCAATTTTTTTTATTTTATTAGTTGAGTTATTAATCATTAATCAGATTTTTCTCTTTTGATGTTTTTCATTTTTTTATTTTATTTTATTCTATTTAATGAATTGAATAATTAATCAGTTACTTCCATGTCAGTGCTTATCTTATCTTTTCAAATCATTTTATTTTATTTGACTTTTACTGCTGTCGCTCTGTACTATTTTTGTCCTGGAAAAAGCCCCCAAAAATATAAATGTCTTTGATGAATCCCCACACCCTTACAAATTTCTTATGTTGCATGAAGTTTCGCAATAGGGAAGTCCGTCTTCAATCATGTCCATGTGTGTCAGTTCTCGTCTGTCTGCACACCTGAAGAGACTGTACATGTGGAGTTGAAGTGGACACAGAGTTCTTTCCACATGTGTCCTGCTGAGTCAGCAGGTTCTGTCTGCGGGCCATCTGCACACCTCCTGCAGCTTGATACCTTTGGTTTGAGCCTTTTCAGATAAATCACTGTACCCCTCTCTGATTTCCATCACCACAGATCCGTCTGCAAAGAAATCAGTGTGTGCGTGTTTATGTTTCACCTTGAACTGTGTGTGTGAGGGAGAGAGAGACAGACAGAGTGGGAAAGAGCGAGAATGTGAAACATATTGAATTCATGCAGGATGGTTTTAGAGCAGTCTGTCAGGACCAATTACTGACTGAGGCTCTAATGCCCTGAAACACTGTAATTTTCCACACCTCTTCAAAATTGCTGTTTGCAGTGACAGACACTTGACTATGAAATGGAAAGAACGTACTTTCCAAGGTCACGTCCTTGTGCTCTTTCAGCATCGCACCTGCTTTATGTCGAAATCCTGTTAAATGTACTGTAAAAGCACGAGTCATCTAACCCCGGTAATCAACCCTTATAACTGTAAATACACAGGCAGTCACTTTTCATTGCTGTCAAGGCCTTGTTGTCATGGTAATGGCCTGCCAGATGCTTTAAAATTAAGTAAATGTTTGCTTAATAACCTTATTTCTTCACTGACTTTATGAGTCAGCACTGAATTGAGCTCTTTTAAGTTGCATCATGTTAAACCACATCATCTTCACAGGCTGATGATTTTAATCTAGCAGCAGATGATTTTAGTGTAATCCTCTACGCACATAACTGCACGGTCTGTGGCTGCGGGTGAGATGTATCTAGAAAGTCAAACTGAAGATGATCTGTTTATTGTGCTGTATACGATGAAGAGTCTGTCCTGACGTGGCAGTGCTGCATTGTGGCTCTTTTGTGGGTTGAAGTTATCACTATCAGTTAAAAAATAATGATAATAAATAATTCTCTTAGACTGAGATTGAATATAAACACTAAGAAAATACACTGCTCAAAAAAGTAAAGAAAACTTTCATCACAGTATAACAACGATACTGTGTTCGAAATCGCTTATTCAGCTACAGGCGCCATCTTCTGGTGCGACGTGGGAATCCCTCACAGTGCATTATGGGTATTATCTAGCAGTTGAGTGCACATCTGTTGCACACTCGTTATTGCGGTGCATTATGGGATTGAACGTTTGCACTTGATAATGTCCACTATGGTTTTGTACACCACTACAAATGGCAGTGCCCGATTTCAAGGGGTCATGAACTGAGAAATCAAAATTTCCTTGATCTTTTGATAAATAAGAGGTCATTGTGCTATAAAAACATCAAAACTTTCTCGTTAGTCTAAAAACAGCTTATATTGAAGCCGTCTGCCAAAACGATAGGTTGCGGAATGTGCCACTTTATGACGTAATAGTGTGACTAAACACTGCCTCCGCAGAAAATGATCAACACCTGCTTCTACATCACTGCCTGTTTAGCCCCACCCACCGATTTGTGCACATAGTAGGTAAATGACAAGAGTGGCAAACACAGGTCTACGCAGACACCAAACGATTCACTTTATTTGATTAACTTTTTTTTTTAATGAAGTTCCAGACTGTGTCAGAACTTGGTCCTTTGTTCACTTCATTTTAGAAATATTAAAACTAAAAGACGATGCTGTGCCGACTATATTGGATATGATGTCACAAGTGCAAGTAACTGTTTTTATTACGTGATCACTATTGCTTTGTCTGTCATTACAGATCGTTTGATATGTACTGAGTATTTATGCGTTTTTATCCTAAATGACAGCAGCATCCATCTGTGAAGGATGTAGGCTGTCAAACACTCAATTATTAGCCAATCATAGCAGTGGGCGTTTACTTCCGAGTCAACACCTGCTTCTACATCACTGCCTGTTTAGCCCCACCCACCGATTTGTGCACATAGTAGGTAAATGACAAGAGTGGCAAACACAGGTCTACGCAGACACCAAACGATTAACTTTATTTGATTAACTTTTTTTTTTAATGAAGTTCCAGACTGTGTCAGAACTTGGTCCTTTGTTCACTTCATTTTAGAAATATTAAAACTAAAAGACGATGCTGTGCCGACTATATTGGATATGATGTCACAAGTGCAAGTAACTGTTTTTATTACGTGATCACTATTGCTTTGTCTGTCATTACAGATCGTTTGATATGTACTGAGTATTTATGCGTTTTTATCCTAAATGACAGCAGCATCCATCTGTGAAGGATGTAGGCTGTCAAACACTCAATTATTAGCCAATCATAGCAGTGGGCGTTTACTTCCGAGTCTACAATCTGCTACGCCTATTCAAACGGAGCGTTCTGATTGGGGGGTCAAAACAGGACAGAAAATTGCCTATTACTTCTAAATTATGAGGTTTTTTGATGTAAAAATCTTGATGACATTATAAGTGGACCTCAGAGAACAGTACAAAATAAAAAAGGCAGTTCATGACCCCTTTAAGGGTATAGGGGGAGATTTCGGACACAGCCCAAGTCATTTAAACATTCCAGTTAGGAAGCATAAGTGATTGTGAATCAGTTTCACCTATTTTGCAGTAGTACTTGCAGTAGTACTAGCACCTACTTTGGTGCTTTGGTTCACCAACAGGTGTGCTGGAGAGGCGACGGCAAGAAAACCCCCCAAAAAGGGAATGGTTTTGCAAGTGGTGGTCACAGACAATTGCTCTCTCCTTATCCTTCCTGACTGTTTTGTCCCTAGTTTTGTATATTGTGTTAGGGTCGTTCTCACTGCTTGTAGCATAAGGCAGTACCTGCAACCCAATTAGGTTGCACAGGTAGTCCAGCTTCTCCAGGATGGCACTTTCATACATGGTGATGCAAGGAGATTTAGGTGTCTTCCAGCACAGTCTCAAGAGCATGGAGGAGATACTGGGAGATGGTTTGTTACACAAGAAGAGCTGGACAGGGCTGTAGAAGAGCAACGTCCCAGCAGCAGGACCGGTATCTGCTCATTTGTTTGAGGAGTAACAGGAGGAGCACCAGAGTGGAGTGCAAGAGTCCTCAAAAAATGACCTCCAGCAGGCTGCTGGTGTGCATGTTTCTGGCCAAACTGTCAGATATAGGCTCCATAAGGGTAGCATGATGGCCTGACGTCCTGTAGTGGGACTTGTGCTCACAACACAGGACCATGCAGCTCAATTGGCATTTGCCAGTGAGCATCAAAACTAGCTAGCCAATGGTAACCTTATTGCTGTTAGGTACCGGGATGAAATCCTCAGAGCTGCTGTCAGACCTTACGCTGGTGCAGTGGGCCCTGGGTTCCTGCATGACAATGCCCAGCTTCTTGTGGCCGGAGTGCGTAGTTTCTGGATGACGAAGGCATTGATGACATCGACTGGTCCTCACATTCCCCAGACCTGAATCCAAGTAGCACCACACACTGTCCAGGAGCCAGTGCTGGGAAATTACTTGTAAATTTTAGTCCGTTACTTACATGACAAAACATTGTAGTCAGTTTTAGGTAATATAATCAGACTACTTTTAGATTACTTTTGACTTAACATGTTCATCACATTAATTTAAATAGAATGCCTCTAGACCCCTCAGCGCTGCCTGCAGAGAGTATCCTCACTGGACCGTTAAAGTTTGCTTTTGATGAACTTCCCTATTGCATGAAAGCAGTTTTCTCTTTTAGAATGCTGTATATGAGTGATAAATCATTAAAGCCTGCAGTGTTTGTTCCCTTCTGCTGTGGGTGGCACAGATTTTCCCAACTCTGTGCAGCAACCTTTCCGGAAATGAGACTGAACTTTTTATGTAGTTCCTTCCAGATGATCAACAACATTGTGCCGTTTAATGCATATACTTTTGTTTCCAGAGCTCTATTGTGTTCTGATTTTATAATAGCGTATGTCATCTTGTGGTGTTTGGGGGGGGATGGGAGAACATTTCAAATCCTTCTTCTGAGAGTGAGTTAGAGGTGTTGAAAAGCTTGGGATGTACTTGTCGTCTTCAGTTTTGTTTATTTTAGGTGTGGGTGTGTGAAACTATGTTCTCTCATCTGTGAGATCTGGCTGTACATTGTCCGCTGCTATTAAGTCTAATCTAGTACTGATTAGCTCCTGCCTAAAACAGCTCATCTTTGGAGAGTTATCTGATTCAGAGGACATCTGCAGTCCACTTAGTGCCAGCCATTACAAGTTTCACAGTGATTGTGCAATCACCTCATGACCAAGGCCACATTTGCACCAATCAAAGATAGAAATAAATGAATATTTGGATGCAGTTTAAGGATGCACACTACTAGAAAAGAAGCTCAGAAAACATCCTGGAATTGTAGGTCATATGAAACCATAACAAGCACTGGATGACTGGACTTCTCTTCTGATCAGGACTTATTCTGAGCCTTTAGCTGCTGTTCCTGTTTAATGTGCTTTCTAAAGTGCAGGTCACTTGGCATAAATTTACCAGCTCTTAAAATCTATATTTTCTCTGAGTGTACACTGCCATCTAATGGTGGCCAAACACATTGTTGCTGGGTGTGAACAAGAAGGCCTTGATAAGAATGAGGTTGCGCCCTTCAAAAATATGATTCAAAATTGAACTAAGAATGTCAAGTCAGTTCAGTTCCTGAATTTTATTGAAATATGATGCAAAAATGCAATTTAATTTCATACTAAGCATAACTAAAATACAATCAGGAAAATTCATATTTGATTGATTTTTGAGAGTAGTATCATTTAAATAATTGTGATAACACTTTAATTAATGCAATAACATTAACTAACAATGTGCAATACATTTGTGACAGTGTAACGTTAGTAAAAAAAAAATTAAATGTAAAAAATGAACAATGTTCATTGTTACATGTTAGCTCAGGTCCATTAGCCTAAATAATATTAACAGATACTAATTTTTATAATGTATTAGTAAATGTTGAAATTAACATTAACTAATATTAATAAATATTTTGGAAGTATTTTTTTTTATTGTTATTTCATGTTGACTAATGTAATTACCTAATGTTAACAAGTGGAACCTTATTGTAAAATGTTACCATAATATTTTCATATTTTTTCATTACTATACTCAAAATGTGCGGGATATTATCAGTTATATATTTTTAATTGGCATATTATAATTAATCAATATTTCAAAGGTTACCTATCAATAATTATATTTGATTTAAATATCATTTAAATTAATTTGTTTTAATTAATAAATAAATTCAATTTATTTATTAATTCAAACTAATTAATAAATCATTAAATTCATTTAATGTTCATTTTATGTATGAGCCCTGGAAGAAGAATTCTCTAATTTAACATAAATAAAGTCAATTAAAAAAAATATGACTTGTAATAGACAAGGCTTTTTATTGCACTAATGAAATACCCCTATTGTGTTTATCTTCTATGATTTATAATACTGAAATCCATCTTGCTTTCAAAACAAATCAGGTTTCTGTGGTGTGTATGTGTCCAATTCCCCTGAAGTATGCCTAACTTTCTCAATATTAAATATTAACCATCTTATTAGAACAAGTCCATTTATAAAGCCAGTCTCTTTTTTTCTTTTTCAGTATGTCGTTCAGCCATGCCTGCTGATATTGTGTTCCTGGTGGATGATTCCTGGTCAGTGGGTCCGTCCAGCTTCCAGCAGATCAAAGAGTTCATAGCGGACATCATCCGAGCCTTCCAGGGAAGTGTGGTTGGACAGGAAGGCATTCGCTTTGGAGTGACTGTCTATTCAGACTTGCCCAGGTCAGTATACATACTGAGGCGGGTTAGTGTTTGCACAACGGAGAGACGATTTCTGCTATGAAAATGATTATGAGAGAATAAAACACTATAATATATAATGTGTACATTCCTGACCTCAGTAAGCACAAATTGACTGCTTGAATATTCCATGCATCTGGCTGTGTCCTTGTTTAGGATGCGTATAGCTCTGACGGATTATTCGACTCTGGAGGAAGTGCTGAGAGCAGTGGAGGAGGTGCCATATGAGGGAGGCAACAGCCGCACCGGCTTGGCATTGGAATTCCTTGTCGAGTCTGTGTTCAGTCCTTCTATCATCAGAGACAACGCCCCAAAGGTGTGACGCTTCAATCACAATCACTTCAAAACACCTTTTTCATGCCTAACCCAACTGCGAGAGAAAAAGACCACAGATGCTGCATTATAAGTGCTTCATAAATAAAAAAGACAAGTTCACACACAACAAAACCCATGTTAGAGGCACAACAGAGATTTTAAAATGGCTTTTATACGACATTGCATATTTACTCAAAATTTTAAGCGCCTTAACACAACAATCAGTTTGTCCACACCAGGCACGTGCACACATAGACATAAAAGGGGGCTTGAGCACCTGCCCTTTTTCTTCCTCGAGAGAAAGTGCCCTTTTTTTCTGGGGAGTGTCTTTTTTTTTTGATAAATTAATATATGTATAGCTATATGTGCGCATGTGTGTGTGTTTCTGTTTGCCCACAGCTTTCCCTGTCAAACTAATCAAAAATCAAAATATCAGGTCGGGTCGGGAAATGTTGAGACTGTCGAGTTCCGACGCCCCTCCGCGCAGGCGCAGCACAGCAGTGTAGCACACATTGATCGGCACATGCGCATCAGGCAGAGCCAGTATCCCCTCACTGCAGAACAAAGATCCAGGGGGCGGGGTTGGATCCACATCTAGGGGGTGGAGATGGTAGGTTTAGGGGTGGAGATGGGTGGGTTTAGGGATCAGGGGGTGGAGACGGGTATAGGTTTAGGTATATGTAAGGTGGGAGGAGTTCTGGATCCAACCTGGCCACCTGGATCTTGTGTTCTGCAGTGAGGACCAAGTGAAGTCCTCCCTCCCTTTCCAGTTGTGTTTGTCTTGGTGTGGAAGTGAGTGGTGAGGAACAAAAGACTAAAAGCTACCTGTGCCTCGAATTTACAGCTAATTACCCAAAAGACAAAAGGCAATTATAGTTAATTTGTCTTGCTAACATCCATGATCAGTATTCAATGTTTTATGTTTAAAATATCAAAACTGTATGAATGCATTTGTAACTGCAGGTTAAATACATTCATGTCCTTCATTAAACAGTGTGTAAATGCATCTAAATGCCCCTTCTAATGCAGCTTCTGTGTTTTCTCTTCATTGCAAAGATGGATTTTGACAATACTGATTTCATTTAAAAGGTAAAAATCTATTTAAACTTATTTGAAAAGATTAATTTCTATCACTGCTGTGAACTGATCACCACACAGAATATGAAGAATATCAAACATTTTAGGAGTCAGCTGTCCACGGCAGTCCTTAAGATATCAGCACAATAACACACTCAGCAAAATATCATCTAATTATTGTTATCAATAAAGTCCCAGAAAATATTGAGATATATTTTTTGGTAATATCGCACACCCCTAATATATTTAACGTTTTGATTAGAAAAATAAAATTAAAATAAATATGAGAAGTGCCCTTTTTTCCACTTGAGCCCCTACCCCTCAAAATGTCTGTGCACGTCCCCGGTCCACACTGACCACAATTTGCTGCACGATATGACACAATCACAGCCAATCAGAAGATATTTGATGTTTAATGTGCAGTTATGAGGATCAGGATTGTGAACCAAAGACATTTGGAAGTGGTCAGGGCTACACACTTAAAAATAAAGGTTCCAAAAGGGAGTTTATTCACAGTGATTCCATAGAAGAACAAGTTTTGGTTCCCCAAAGAACCTTTCAGTGAACTGTTCTTAAAAGGACTTATTGTAAAGAACATTTTTAAAATCTAAAGAGCCTTTTCCAACTATACTCTTAAAAATGAAAGTTCCAAAAGGAGATGCCATGCCATATAGAAGAACCATTTTGGTTCTCTAAAGAACCTTTCAGTGAACAGTTCCTAAAAGAACCATTTTTTTCTTAGTGGAGAACATTTCAGTAGTCTGAAGAACATTTTTCCACCATAAAGAACCTTTTGTGGATTGGAAAGGTTCCATGGATGTTAAGGTTCTTCATGAAACTATAGATGCCAATAAAGAACCTTTAGTGTTAAGACTCTATAAAGGGCCCTTTGCTGAATAGAAAGATTTCATGGATGTTAAAGGTTCTTCATGGAAGCATAGATGCCAATAAAGAGTGCACCTAGCATGACGATGCATAAATGTAAACCAATCAAATGACAAAGTCATGCTGCTTGTCATGGTCACATCTTGTACTGTTTTATTTGCACCTCATTCGCACCTCAATACTGAATCTCAGTGATATCTGTACATGATTAAAACTGCAGCAAAGTATTTAAATGCTACATTTCCAAATGAAACATCCCGTCACATATACACAGAACAACCTTCTAATTATATATCTCAAAGAGCTGCACCTGCAATCACTCCATTGATTCTGTCAGGACATCACGTCCTGCGCTGCAGTGCACACACTCTGCTCCGCAGTGTCCCACCCATCCTAATTTAGGTCTTGATTAGGATTCCAAGCCGCACACAGCTGCTGGTCTTGCCGTAGAGCACCTGGTGCTCAGCATACTAAATCAGCATACTATCATCTCAAAAACATTGCAAGAATTAGATGTTTTGTTTCCAGTCAAGACTTGGAGAAACTTGTTCATGCCTTTCAGTTCCTAAAAGAACCATTTTTTTCTTAGTGGAGAACATTTCAGTAGTCTGAAGAACATTTTTCCACCATAAAGAACCTTTTGTGGATTGGAAAGGTTCCATGGATGTTAAGGTTCTTCATGAAACTATAGATGCCAATAAAGAACCTTTAGTGTTAAGACTCTATAAAGGGCCCTTTGCTGAATAGAAAGATTTCATGGATGTTAAAGGTTCTTCATGGAAGCATAGATGCCAATAAAGAGTGCACCTAGCATGACGATGCATAAATGTAAACCAATCAAATGACAAAGTCATGCTGCTTGTCATGGTCACATCTTGTACTGTTTTATTTGCACCTCATTCGCACCTCAATACTGAATCTCAGTGATATCTGTACATGATTAAAACTGCAGCAAAGTATTTAAATGCTACATTTCCAAATGAAACATCCCGTCACATATACACAGAACAACCTTCTAATTATATATCTCAAAGAGCTGCACCTGCAATCACTCCATTGATTCTGTCAGGACATCACGTCCTGAGCTGCAGTGCACACCGCAGTGTCCCACCCATTCTAATTTAGGGCTTGATTAGGATTCCAAACCGCACACAGCTGCTGGTTTTGCCGTAGAGCACCTGGTGTGGAGAAATGAGCGGCCGTTTATAATGAACTGCAGAGATTTCACCTTTTATTAAAACTCTCATCACATACATACACTGTAATGGCATGCTAGTGTAGAGTGCATAAAGACTAACCCAGACGCAGCGCGACCAATGCTGGCGAACTTTAGGTGACCCAGGAGATGTTTCCTTTTCAGAATACTCATTTGTGAGTGTAAGCGACTTTGCAGGTTTGGATCTGCTGCGGTTGGGGAATTATGTATGCAATGAGATGATAATTCATGCTGTGTGCTTTCAAGGGCATCAGTATCAGCGTGATGCTCTTAATGGCAGATTGAGTCCTTTAACAAAAATGCACACTTTTGGGTGGATTTCATGAAAGCTGACAAGAAAAAGTCCCAGTCATATTTCACACCAAAAATCAAAAGGAAAAAAATCTACATGAAGACAATAATGTTGTTGTTTTTAATAAATTATATTTTTCATGACATATAAGCATATTTCACCTCTCAGATTACTGTAATGCATTATGGTAATATATTACAGTAACGAGAATCATTGTTGAAAATAATAGGATAGTAAAAGTATGTGTTGATGCATTTTTGTAACTAAAATTGGAGTGGAAAAAAAATGCCTGATCGTCCTGAAAATGTCACAATGCAAAAATGTAATGTTCCTACTATAAATGTAGGCCTCATTTTCTATAAGCAAAATATAATTTGTCTTTTTCCTGTTAACATTTTATTTTACAGTCCTGTTCTACATTTATGTGCAATGTACTTACTATAATAACTGACTCCAAACCTAACCTTAACCCATTTTAAGTCCATGTAGTTCCATCATATAACATCATATAACAGTTGCTGTGTAAGTACACTGTAAGTACTGTAAAATTAAGTGCAACCTTTTTCCATTAAGGTTAAATACAAGTTGGACTTTCTCGACAGGCTTCGTGAGATTTACCCTTTAATATATTTCTGTACATCTTTGAATTTTGCTAGATTTGTGATTTTAAAAAAAAAGCCGGGGGATCTTCAAGTTTGACCCAGTTTTATTATTTTTTTCCGTTTGCACTAAAAGTAGCTTTGTATTTCTGTAGTTAATATGTCCAGTTCATTAAATGTAGTTTTTTCCTTCCAGTATTAAGATATTATACAAAAAGAAAGCAAATTTTTAACGACCATTAACATTTTTTGCATTGTGACAATTATAACTACAATTAAGCTTATATTTGAGTGTGAGATTCACCCTTTTGCATGTTGGGATCACTAAAGCATCACTTTATGTTTTTCTCTTCTTTTTTTTTGGGCCTCAGATTGCTGTTCTGATCACTAATGGCCAATCAGATGATCCGGTGGACGGTCCAGCTAAAGCTGTAACAGATAGTGGGATTTCCCTGTTTGCTGTGGGTGAGTTGAAAGTGTCAGAAGTGTTTGTGTTGTAGTTTGAATGGGCATGACGCGTCTGTTTGCACTCTCTCATGTTTTGACGTGTGGCTCAGAGTAACTATAGTGCAGTGATTTACAGTGAATGGTAATATTGGTGAACAAGGCAAGACACAAAACAAGTGTATGTTTGTGTGTGTCAGCCTTGTTTCCTTGACTTTTTTCACGCTTTTTCTGTTTTGACGCCCAGAGTGCTGAAATAATTATGGCTCATTACCTGGTGGCCGACTAATTGCTGTAATTTTTCATCAAGCCCATTCCTCCTTGCCCCTCCCTTCATCACACACACACTGACACCGTGTCCTGCCTTTCTAATCAGTTTTCCCAGAGAGACATGAATATATCAGGCCATTTGACACATCTTTGAGACACATGTACAGCAGGGTGACATGCCGTGATGTTCTCCCATCATCACTTTACAGCTGATACACTGTCTGATAACACTTCAGCAGGCCTGAGACACATGAGGGTCATTTCTATGCACACACACACACACACACACACACACACACACACACACACACACACACATGGCCTCCATGTTATGACAATTTTAAAATAAAGTCACGTTGGAGTTGTGACATAGTGGTTAATGAATAGTAGTGGTGCTCATATGGGGGATGAAGGTTCGAGTTTGACCTGCAACGTGCCCTGATTCCATAATATGTAAGAAATGATGATGTCAAACTGTGTAGAATCTGTGTTATTTTGACTGGTGTTGTGTGTCTATCAGGGGTGAGGAACGCCAATCAAGCTGAGATGAGAAAAATCGTCACAGAACCCCATGAGGAACATCTACTGCTCAGCCCAGATTTCTCCTTCCTGGAGAACCTTCTGCCCAAACTGTCTCGTCGCATCTGCTTCACTGCTTCAGAACCTCCCCGGCCTGTTAAACAAAAGCCACCTGGTAAAACCTCCATGAGTTTTGCTAATGAAAAATGAAACTTATCTTGATTAATTGATTGTAGCCAAAGGTTTTTGTTGCAGTCATTACAGTTCAGCTTCACTAAACCCTCACCTCCTTGGCTACTTTTGCTCCCTTAGACAAGCTTTACAGAAGATACCATAAAAATAAATGGGAGATTTATGTGAACAGTTTTAGGTAACACTTTACTTAAAGCCTTTATGTATAATGCGTTATAAAAGTAGTTTTAATGCAATAATTATGCCTTGTAAAGCACCATATAATGCATTGTACAATATCATAAATAACTGTAACACAGTTAATACATTATAACACTTATCAATTCATTGTTACACTATGCATTTTAAATTCGGTTATAATTATTTACAACAAGATATAATGTATTACAATGCACATTATGAATAATTATAATGCATTCTACCCTTTAATAAACCTTTATAATGCATTATACATAAAGCCTTTAAGTAAAGTGTTACTCAGGTTTATTTTCAGTAAAATGCACATAATTAGTCATTATTTAGTTAGTTTTTTGTTTGTTTGATTGTTTTAAATACAATAATGTTAAATCAAATTGCACAGTAACATGAGTTATTGCTTCTATTAATAACCTAAATGTGTACATAAATTATTTAACATTAATTTTGTGGGCTGAGTGACCCAAGTGACCTGTCGTTTTTACAAATTTTTTAATAATTCCCACAGATACTTAATTGACTTGCATTAGAAAAGTGCAAAATATTGTCTGATAATATATCAGGCAGCAGTGAATAGCTAATTCGGTCGTATCCTGTGTGCTGTTCTGTCTGCTGTAGTGCTGAAGAGGATAGTAGGACCTAAAGATCTGCAAGTGAGCGAGCTGAGTTACAGTTCTCTGCAGCTGACCTGGAGTCAGGCCACAGGAGACGTTACCGGCTACAGGCTGCTCATCACCCCTGTGTCTCCAAAGGGCCATCTGCTCCCAGCACAGCAGAGACAGGTGAGACACGGTCACCTGTGCATATGTACACCCCATGCAGCAGAGCACAGCAGATGGAAGGCTGCACATGGACCAGTTTTCTTTATGTGGCAATAAGCTAATATGTTTACTGTGTATTTGCAAGTGTGCATGTATGGTTTGTTCAGAATATATTCTTTTCTCTTCGTCTCTCAGATTGATCTGAAGGGAGATATTAGTAGTACTCCAGTAACCGGGTTGAGTCCTAAGACTGAGTACTCCCTCACTTTATATGCCATCTATCCCGGACGCATTGGAGAATCTGCCACTATTACCACAGAAACCAGTGCGTTTTGAAATTTACACACTAAAAATGTCTCTAAGCATGATAAATGTACATCTTTCATTTATTTGTACACAAACTTTCCCATTGTCTAAATGCAGTGTCCCAGCATATGCTTTCTTTTCAGCTGTTCTGCCACCGGTTTCGAACTTCCGTGTGATTGAAGAAGGACTGTTCTCTTTGCGCCTGGGATGGACGCCTTCGCTTGGAAAAGTGGATAAATATAAAATTTATGTTCCAAGAAGTGAGAAATCAACGCACACTCTGAGACTGAATATGAGATATTTTAAAGATGTTGTTTTAAGAAATTCCTTCATTTGTTCTCAGCGGACAGACCCGGCCTCATTTATGATCAGATACTATCGGGTGACGCCTCCTCTCACGTGATTGACACTTTAGAAGAGGACAAAGAGTACACAGTCGAGATTTACGCTGTCTATCCTGAGGGCCCCAGTGAGACTGTATCTGTCTCTGGGAAAACTTGTAAGTCTGTCTTCTGTCTTCTGTTTCATTCCTTTTATAGTATAGTTTCATCTGATGCCTCATGTACAAATTCTGCCCTTCAAAATTAATACAGTACCACAATGATGGCATCGGAAACTTTATGTACTGTACCACAGCACTGAATAATCACCATGTCTCTGTACAATCATGGTATTAGGTACTTAAATTTGGTAGTCTAATAAGGTTTGTACAATGGTGCATGTCCAAAAATAAAAAAGAAAGCTCTTCCTACTTAGACTTCCTATTTCATGCCCACTTTATATACACATGATAGTGATTTTTTTGTTGATATTTTGTTTACAAAACATTATTGATTAAACAGCATATTATACACACATATGTATATTATAATTTCATTAATATATATACACACACACACACACACACACACACACACACACACAAAATATATATATATATATATATATATAGAGAGAGAGAGAGAGACAGAGAGAGAGAGAGAGAGAGAGTTAAAAATGTACTGATTAAACATGTTTAATTAATTGCATCAATACTGTATGGTATGATAATAATAATAATAATAATAATAATAATCATAATAAGTATTATTATTATTATTATTATCATCATCATTGTTGTTGTTGTTATTATTATGTACTGTACCATGACTTTTTTTAACCTTGGAATACTATTGATTTATATTGTTGTATGAATATAGCATTTTCATATTCATACCACAATATATCCATATTCGAGCATGGTGTTATCATCTGATATAAAAAAATGCTGATAAAAATTCCTTAATGACAGTTTCCTTTTAATTCCGAAAGATTTTAATTAATTAATTAATTTAACGGCATTTGTTTTTTGCCTCCAGTGTCACCGGTATATGCCACTGTTGATCTGTCTGGAGTGGAAATGAAGGTACGCTTAGAAAATATGTGTCATATTTGATCAGGAGCAGGGTCTTCAGAAGGCATAAAACTCATATGCACCATTATATGTCAATCAAAAATTATTCTTTAGCTTGTCTGGACACATTAAATAGTTTATTATTGTTTATTTTTGTAATAATATTACCATTTATTAAAATCATTATTGTTAATAATAATAATAATGGAATTATTGTGTGTATTACTTGTTTAACCACCAGATGACAGTCTAACACATATCTTCATGAAGAAATCTTTAACATAAAATCTAAAACGTTCTCTTGTGTTTTTATGTTTTTGTGTATTTATTCATTTTATTTATTTTTCTATTTTCTGTTCAACTTTAGTAAAACAATTATTATTTTTATCATGCATTATCATCCTATTAAAAACGCTGCACTTATCCTTCTCTGTGTGTTGCAGTGAAACTGGTCCCAGTTAATAAACTGCTGGTGCAGAACGCCACTACAGACACAGTTCAGGCCCGCTGGTCGTCTGTCAGAGGCGCCACAGGATACAGACTCACCTGGTCATCATCAGGTAACAAGCGCTGAGCTGCTTCAATATTAAATGCAGCCTATTTAAAAGCATAAATGCTATACATATCCCTACTTTCATATTTCCGCAGAGGGACACATAGAAAACGTGAACCTGGGAGACAACTTTAATTTCTACATGGTGCAGGGCCTGCATGCTGGCATAGAGTACACCATCACTATCAACCCCATCTTTGTGGACATTGAAGGACCTGTTACCTCTGCCAAAGCTAAGACATGTGAGTACTACAGGTGAACTATAAGGGACCGTTCACACAGGACACATGCTTGCTTTCCAAAACAGCTAGATTGAGCCAACACAATGGAACCGGGGTTTCAATATATGTTATTTAACTCAACACAGTGTCTTAAAAACATCTAGACATTAAAAATAGTGCAGACTGAGTGTGAAAAGCTACAATACTGCTAATAAATCACGCCACGTATGAAGATGCTGATGCTCTCTCTCTTTGTCTCAGTGGAAAGCAGTGCAGTACAGACCCTGAGAGCGTCTGCGGTGAGCACTAGCAGCGCTGTTACCTCATGGAACGGTGTACCTGGAGCCACAGGCTACAGATTGGCCTGGGGCCCTACTGCAGGTACCTATATAAGTACCTTTTTTCCATCTCCTTGTCCTCCATTTGGCCGTTCTCCACTTTCCAGTTTCAATTTGTAGTCTGTTTCCCTTTTCATTTCCTCTCTCTTTCTGATTTATAGTCTCTTTTTCATGGAAGCGACAGGTTGGTGACAACATGAGGTGTCGCTGTGCCGCCTCATGACTCATGCCGTCAACTTTATCTGTGTGTTTAAGAGAATTTGTGTGTGTGTAAGTTTGGGGCTCTGTGTGAGAGAAATGAATTGATGGCACCTCAGAGCACCTCCAAAAGAAGAGTCTTTGAAAGTGACTCCTTTCTGTCACTGTGATGGGCTGCGGGGCATCTGCTTTAAAAGAACGACCTGGAAGAACATTCTGATGAAGGAGAGCTCTGTGACTCATACCACACACTCTGACACATACATACAGATGAGTCTGAGGATGAGTTAATGGAGAAAGGGGAGAGAAACGGAGGGAGAGAGAGAGACAAAATTAGAAGTTAGATGTTTAATATTTTAAAAAATTCTTGAAACATGAAAGTAAGATTTATTTTTATTATTTATTATAAATTATATATTTTAAATATAAATATACAATGTTGATGTGTATTTGTATGAATTATTATACAAATATAAATATATAAATTTTATTTATATATATATATATATATATATATATATATGCATTTGCATTTAGTCATTTAGCAGACGCTTTTATCCAAAGCGACTTACAAATGAGGACAATGGAAGCAATCAAAATCAACAAAAGAGCAATGATACGCAAGTGCTATAACAAGTCTCAGTTAGCTTAATGCAGTACACGTAGCAAAGTTTTTTTATTATATAATTAATAAAATGAAAACAGATAGAATAGAAAAAGAATACAGCAAGCTAGTGTTAGAGGCCTTTTTTTAGTTTTTATTAATTGTATAATAAATCAAAAGAAAACAAATAGATAGAATACAAAAAGATTAGAGAAGAATAGTGTTTTTTGAAGAAAACAAGCAGTTAGTAAATGAATGGAGTGCAAGTCTAAAATGGGCAAGTTTTTTCTTTTTTTAAAGAATAGAATTAGAATAGAGAGTGCTAGAGTTAGAGGGTCAAATAAAGATGGAAGAGATTTTAGCCGATTCTTGAAGATGGCTAAGGACTCATCTGCTCAGCAATAAAATAAATAAAATATGCAATTTTATTATTATTGTTATTTGCTAAAATATATCAGTATGAGACATAAAAAATATTAATATTACTAGAATAAAATGTGTATATACACACACACATTATTATTATTAAGATATTTTTATTTATATATCACCAAAAAAACTATAATTAATATACATATTAAATTAAATTTAAAAGAAAATATTATAGTATATATTAAAGAATGTACAAAAATGTAACAAAAATAAAAATAATTATATATATATTATATATATGTGATATGATATACAGTGGTGGCAAAAATTATTAGAACACTTGACATATTTAAGAGGTTTCAGTTGTTTTTTGTTGAATTGGCCATTACAATACCCATAAAACAAAATATTGCTGGAACTACCTGTGACGGAAGGAATCTGCTGGAACACTGAAAATGATGGACAGACTCCTCAAAGTCTGGAACTCAACCCCATCGAGCAAATTTTGGGCGAGTTAGAAAACAAACTGGACAGATCTATAGAACATTCAAAGCCTTTGGCTTGAGTTGCAGAAGGCATGGGATAAGATTAGTGTTGAAGTTCTCAGGAAATATATTGACACTGTGCCAGAGAGATGTGCTGCTGTAATTGCTTGAAAAAGTGGACACACCAAATATTACAGTTAAAAGTAGATAAAAACAGTACGACCCACTTCATCTGATATTTGTTGTGCTCAGAGCAACCATCTGCATGTTTTGTGAACATTATGAAATGAAATAATGTTTTGGAGGCAAAAAAAGTCAATATTTTCAGATCAGGTGTTCTAATAATTTATAATAATAACTTTTTTTGCCATTTATATATATTTATTTGTGTGTGTTTGTGTATGTGAAGAGTTCATAGGGAGAGATCGGCCCAGGCAGTTGGCTCTGAATGGCAGCACTACGGAGTATGTTTTGAAGAATCTGGTCCATGACACAGAGTATGTGCTTTCGCTTTATGTTCTCTTTGGTTCTGCGGTTGGTCCGGGCATCACCGCTACATTCAGGACCTGTGAGTGACCCGACACCTTGTCATGTTTCCTTGATAAACACATTCTGACAGTGATTATTTATATATTTGTGCTTGTTGGTTGGGTCTCATGTCATAAGTTCTGCTCCCCAGCGCCTCTCGGATATGTCTCAAATTTTAAAGTGACATCATACACCAGCTCGTCCATCGATGTGGAATGGAGTCCTATTGTAGGGGCCACGGAGTACAAACTCACCTGGAGTTCAGGTGAAACTAGTTTTTAAAACCCTATACTAAATATCATGATACAACATTGAATTTGTAATAAATCTGTCTAGTTTATTTTAATAAGGCCCATTAAACTATGATATATTCCAAAAGGTTTGACCATGTTGATGTTCTCTCCCAGAATTTGTGAGTCCTCAGAGTCGGTATCTTGACCGCAGCATTTTACGGCACAGCATCACTGGTCTTCAGCCACAAACCCTTTATTCTGTCAGCATTCACGCTCTCTACAGCAACACAGAAGGACCAGAAATCACTCTCTCACAGCAAACAGGTACTGTTCACTACATTGAACTTATTCACAGATTCACAAAAAAACAAATAGCCACAGTATTTGATTTAACCTTCTTTGTATAGTTTCTGGACGTGTTAACTGTGTCCTTCTGTCTCAAGACACCCAAACATTCATTTAAAAGAAGATTCTGAGTTCATTACAAGTTAAGCTCAACTGGTGTGACATAATGTTGATTAATACAAAAATAATATCAACTTGTCTCACCTTTTCTTTAAAAAAAAGCAAACATCTGGATTACAATGAAACACTTACAATGGAGCCAATTTGTAAACATTAGAATACTCACCATTTCAATAGTATAGACATAAACAATGTGTTAACATGATTTTAGTGTGAAAAATCACTAACATTTTAGGTATAACGTTATATCCAATTTTACATCTTCCTTTCCATGACAAATTAACTCTGTAAACCTGAAACCCTTAAAACAGTTATAAAACAGCTTAACATCTGAATACACAAGTTTTAACAGAAGAATAAATATGCTTTTATAAAATTATAAAATTCACGTTTCCTCCAAAAAATTGTCCCATTCACTTCCATTGTAAGTGCATCACCATACCCATTTTTTTAAAGAAAACAAAGGACTAGTTAGAGTTATTTCTGTGGTAATAAGCACACTGAAACCCGGATCTTAGAATATTCCTTTAATATGCTCTTATTTTTGCTTATTTCACCTTTTCACACTTACAGCCTCTTCATACTGGTCCTTTTATTGTTGTCTGTGTTGTACTAAGTCTTCCACAGAGTTTTATTTTGTTTCTTTTACTCTGTAGGAAAGCTGTACCAACAAATCTTGACTCTTTTTAGTCCGTTTGGACTGCTCAGTTTGGCTCTGTGTCTTCTTACAATGACAACTGGTCGACAGGCACATGTCATTTATCAAAGCCATAAGATGAAAACTCTGCTAAGTTAATTAGGCACTTCAGACAGTCGGGGTCCGGGGATATGGAGATGTTCCTCCCATTGTTCCAATGAGATTGAGGGATATCATGAGATTGATTGATAACTCCTGTGTTTGAGCCCCCATCTTTAGCAACCACAGCTGTATAGAGCAGTATTTTTACTGAAGCTCAGTCTGCTGTCAGCTTCACAGTTTCACAGACAGCACTGTGAAAAGCAGAAAGCGGCTGCATTGCACTTAAACACTGTATAAAAACTATAAACACCAAATAACATCACCTATGTATATTTAATACCATAAAATTATTTATTTAACCTGTTTTGACTTGAATATGCCATACATATTGGATTATAATTCCTCAAGAGTCATGTTCTCTGGATTTAATATCTAAAAAAAAAAGTTAAATATTTGAGTGAATTTTTAATATGAATAAATTAAAATTTAAATAAAACATGCATTTTAAAATAGAACAAAACAGTAATATGTATGTTTGAATTATTTATATCAAAACTAGGTGTTACTAATTGTTTTACCTTTATGAATTTGCAGCCTCTTTGACAGACTCTGAGCTGATTGAGACAGTTCGTGAGGTAAAAGTTGTGGACATTGGAGCCAACTCATTCAAACTGGCTTGGAAGAAAACACCAGGGGTCACTGGGTACATGATCACTTGGAGTTCTTTCCATGGTGGGTACCAGCAGTCCTCATTCCAATCCATTACAATTAACACTTGATTACAATCCATCCATCATCTTTACTCTGCTATTCTGTGTTTTTCTCTCAGGTGGAGAAAAAAAGAGTGAGGTTGTATCTTCTTCTGCCACGTCCTTCACCATCACTGATCTGCCTGCCAGTTCTGCATACAAGATCCAGGTTTCTGCAGTGGTCAGGAGCAAAGAGGGAAGTCCAGTAATGGTGACCGCCCGCACATGTAAGTCGCTTTTAATATTTCAACCTGCTTGTTTTCATGTCAATGTGCAACAATAAGTATTTGAATTAATGTTGCTGTTGTGTTACAGTGGATCTGCCCAAGGTGACTGGATTCAGTGCTCTGAACACCACCGACAACAGCACTGTACTGAACTGGACCAGTGTAACTGGAGCATCTGGATACCTGCTTTCCTGGAGACATATATCAGGTCAGAAGCATTAAAAAAACATATTTACTGACAGACTGCACCTTCATTTACACACATGACCTTCAATGTGTAAAAATATCCTAAATATGCATACATATATATATGATATATAATCCATGGTAATAGAGATATGCAAAAAGAAATAAATAAATAAAATAATAGATTATTTATACATCATATATTATTTTATTACAGTAGCTTAAACTAGCTGATAACTGGCTTTAGGCTCTAGCATTGCTCAGATGGTTTAGAACCTTTTATTTGTTAATGAGTGTTGCTAAATAGCAGGGAAAAACTAATTTCAGATAATATAATCCATGGTAATAGAGATATGCAAAAATAAATAAATAAATAAAATAATAGATTATTTATACATCATATATTATTGTATTACAGTAGATTAAACTAGCTGATACCTGGCTTTAGGCTCTAGCATTGCTCAGATGGTTTAGAACCTTTTATTTGTTAATGAGTGTTGCTAAATAGCAGGGAAAAACTAATTTCAGATAAGCTCTTGTAATAAGAGTTCCTCTCACAAAAGCCGTTTTGCCTGATATACAAGACATAAGAAAAGAGAATAGACAGCGTAGATAAGGTCATGAAAAGATCTGCGATTCATTCATGTTATCTTCATGACGTCAACAGGGTCTTCTAATGAGGGTGTGCTTTGCATGAGCATGAAGGTTATGAGGAATTTAAAAGTGGACTTTAATTTTAGCTTATGACACATAAGACACAGAACTCAGATTCTGGAAGTCGCTGTGTCCTTGAAGTGTTTTAAACTGATATAAGAGAGTTTATGGCATCTCAAATCTGTGGTAAAATGTTTATTTTTATTTTTTTTTTGCAGACGACAGACTCTCCCAGATGTTCCTGTTTTTTGTTTCCTACACCTGTGCTGTCACATTCATGCTGACATTATTTTGTCCTAATGCAATTGTCTACAGACGACAGACTCTCCCAGATGTTCCTGTTTTTTGTTTCCTACACCTGTGTTGTCACATTCATGCTGACATTATTTTGTCCTAATGCAATTGTCTATCTATGTTCTGTGTAGAGGTGGACATCTCCTCTGATCTGCTGAGCTCTGGCTTCACCTCCTATAAGATCCGAGATCTGCTATATGGCAGAACCTATATATTTTCCATCAGACCGCTTTATGGGGAAGTGGAGGGTCCGGTCACAACCATCACTAAAAGGATATGTAAGTCTTATCTCTGCAAATATCATTAGCATTATAATTTTTTTTAAATGTTGCTATTATTTATTTATAATGTTGCACTTATATTGTAAGGCATGATTGATGTATTAGACACATCTGGAGTAAATTTTGTTCTGTGTTCATAAAAGAGTCTGTCTTTGTGCTGAATGCTGATTAGGGAAGGGAAAGTTTTTGAAACTCATTATGTTGGAAAGTTTATTTTTAAAACACACTTCTGTTCAAATGTTTGGGGTCAGCAGTGTGTGTGTGTGTGTGTGTGTTTAAGTAATTAATACTTGTATTCTGCAAGGACACATTAAATTGATCAAAAGTGATAGTAAAACATTTATACATTTGCAAATGATTTCTATTCCAAATAAATGCTGATCTCTATATCTTTCTATTCACCAAAGAATCCTGAAAAAAAATTATCACGGTTTCCATAAAAAAATATTAAGGAGCACAAATGTTTTCAAACATTGATATTAATAAGAAATGTTTCTTGAGCAGCAGATCCGCATATTAGAATGATTTCTTAAGGATTATGTGACACTGAAGACTAGAGTAATGGCTGCTGAAAATTCAGCTTTGCTATCACAGGAATAAATGACACTTTGTTCATATATATTAACATATAAACATATTTCACAATATTACTGTTTATACTGTGTTTTGGATCAATAAATGCAGCCTTGGTGACCATATGAGACTCCAAATCTTTGAACAGTGGTGTATAGAAAAAGCAAAACTGGTTTGTTTGAGCTAAGGACTTTTTATGATTGTCTTACAGTGGGATCTCCTCGTCTCATTCCTGTCCAGAGCCCTACGCCGGCCCCTGTTTCTGCTAATACCAAAATCAATGACTTGCCCTTCCCCACCACAACCAGAAATGCTCGCACCCCATTGGTCAAAGCCCCCAGCGCACCCACTACCACTCAGAGACTCGCTGTGAGGCCTCAGATCATTACTGGCCAAACGGCTTCAGCACTGACCAGAATTACCACAGTAAATGACCAAACCACCCTGTCTGTCGAGACACCTCCACCTGGACCAGGTCATTCCGATTAAACTGGGTCTTAATCTTTTTTTTTTTCTTTCAGTTTTCAAGTAAAATGTTCAACTTAAAATGTAAAAGCTTCTGCTAAAGTTATGTTTTAAAGAGGTCTTTTTTTAATCATTTTAGATATTTTCCCTGATATCCATTTAAAATGTGATTTAAGGTTTTATGCACCAGAAATATTCATTGTTTAGTTTTCATGCCCTTTTCCCACCCTCTCAGTGACCCTTAGAATAAAACAGGCTGCTTTCATTGTTTTGCCTTTTTGAACTTGTCAATTCTCCATTTGCATGTAAAATTTGAAACTATTTCTAACAGGCGTTACATTGTCAGCTTTACATCTGTGCTGAAATATATCACACAATTAAACTGTTAATAATTGTTTTTCCATAATATGATGCCTTTAAGAAGTGTAGAAATGTTACTGCACTATCTACACAATGTAAACCTATACAATGTGAATGAATTGTGTGCTTCTTTCTGTTAGTGTGTGGCAGGGTGAAGGCAGATATTGTGTTTCTGGTCGATGAATCCTGGAGCATTGGAACTAATAACTTTGGCAAGCTGAAGAATTTCCTGTTTAGAATCGTCACCTACTTCCCCTCTATAGGACCTAAAGGAACACAGGTAGGACATGCTAATGCGCTATACTAAATTAAAGGCTTTCCACCTCATTTGGGACGATTCTTTGTCTTAGTCACTAAATCTATAGTCTCATAATAAGTACAAACATCTAATGTGCTGTAAGTGTGGATTAAACCATCTCATTAACTTGCCTTAGATAGCAGTAGTTCACTACAGTGATCAGCCCAGGATCGAGTTCAACTTTAACACTCACAAAGACCGTAACTCCGTTTTGAGAGCACTCCGTGAAGTCCGCTACGGAGGGGGGAACACAAAAACAGGTGCACAAACACATTCAAAGATTAAAACTTGTTAATGCTAAATATTAGGGTGATGTCTTATTTAAAATGTGATGATTGTGAATGTGTGTGTAGGTCGTGGGATCAGCTATGTCCTTAGGGAGATGTTTCAGGAGTCTTTGGGTATGAGACAGGAAGTCCCTCACATGTTAGTGTTACTGACAGACGGGAGAGCACAGGATGACGTAGAGCCACCGTCCAGGATAGCACATGCTCTGGGTGAGTAATATCAACTGCAGTGCAGGAATAGACAGATATTCGAACACAACTAAATGTACAATGCTGTTCAAAAGTTTGGGGTCAGTAAGATTTGTTTAACGTTTTTGAAAGAAGTCTCTTCGAAAATACAGTAAAAACTGTAATACTGGAAAATATTTAGTGCTGTCAAACGATTAATCGCAATTAATCGCATCCAAAATAAACGTTTTTGTTTACATTATATATGTGTACTGTGTATATTTATTATGTATATATAAATACACACACATACAGCATATATTTTTTTCATGTTTATACATGTATATATTCTTATGATTATAATTTATAATATATATAAATATATTTAATATAGAAACAACATATTTTTCTTAAATATATACATGCATGTGTTATAAACATAATAAATAAACACAGTATACACACATATATTATGTAAACAAAAACTTTTATTATGGATGCGATTAATCGCGATTAATCGTTTGACAGCACTAAAAATATTATTGTAATTTAAAAGAACTGTTAAATTTGGAAGCCTTTTTCCAGCTTATTTTATGAAAAGTAAAATTATAAAGGTAATTCTGAGTTTATATTTCACAATTTTTTTCTCACAATTCTGAAAATTTATTTAAAGTTGATTTTAATTTTTTATTACTATTATTTTTTTTATTGTAACTTTTGAAAAATGTAATGTGTCCTTCCTGGATAAAAGCATTCATTTCAATTTTCTCTCAAAAAATACAAAATGTACTGACCCTAAAATTCTGAGAGGCATCATGTGTTTATTTACTTCATCATAATTTAGTAACACCTTAGTATAAGGCCGAATGAATGAATGTTTTAATGTATATTTGTGTATTAGGTGTCAGTGTGTTGGCCATCGGCATTGCTCATGCAGATATTGAGGAGCTGAGGACCATCGCCTCTCCCACCACTTACAAGAACATCTTCTTCGCCAGTTATTTCGACGATCTTCCGACCATCGAGAGAGAGTTTATCAGCAGCATCTGTAGCGAGGCCTTACAATCAGAGTTCAAACAACACGATGAGGTGGGCCGTGCAGATCCGATTGTGAGTATTATTTTCACAATACATACTGCATAAGTCAGATTTGTATTTGTCTTTGTCCTAGTCTGCTCAACTGGATACACCTACAGATGACCCGGAAGCTCTCAGTAAACCAGAAGGGCCCTGTCCTCTTAGCTGCAAGGTAAACACTTCCTCTACATCCTCACTACAGCTGTCACACCATGTCTTATATGAATCCTCATTCCCGGTATGTTGTTGTTCACAGGGTCAGAAAGGAGAGAAGGTAAGTGGCAATTGTGTTATCATGTGTTATTGATCAAATAATTATAACTGATGATATGATTGTATCTCATTTCTCCACTGCAGGGCGATGGATTTGGTCATGGTGGCCTGGTATGTTAGACACCAGCAGACCGCTATTTCTTCATTTCTATATTTCCTTCTCGCTAATCTCAGTGGCTCGCCTCATTCTGTTTGAACTCTGACAGACAGTCTTTCTCTCTCGTTAGGAATATTTACCAGGCTAACATCAGTATTATTATTGCTAGTATTAATTAGGGGTAGGGGTTAACAATATTATCATGACAGATGATACATGGCATCATAACTGTGAATTTTGCATAGTGTTATTTTATTTTTTTTATAGTTTTATTAATATTTTGAATTCGATTTTTAAATATATTTTCCGTTTTTATTTGACTTTTTGTTTACCTTCTATTAATTTTGTTTTGCACAGTGTTAAAATTATAAAGGTAATTCTGAGTTTATATTTCACAATTTTTTTCTCACAATTCTGAAAATTTATTTAAAGTTGATTTTAATTTTTTATTACTATTATTTTTTTTATTGTAACTTTTGAAAAATGTAATGTGTCCTTCCTGGATAAAAGCATTCATTTCAATTTTCTCTCAAAAAATACAAATTGTACTGACCCTAAAATTTTGAGAGGCATCATGTGTTTATTAACTTCATCATAATTTAGTAACACCTTAGTATAAGGCCGAATGAATGAATGTTTTAATGTATATTTGTGTATTAGGTGTCAGTGTGTTGGCCATCGGCATTGCTCATGCAGATATTGAGGAGCTGAGGACCATCGCCTCTCCCACCACTTACAAGAACATCTTCTTCGCCAGTTATTTCGACGATCTTCCGACCATCGAGAGAGAGTTTATCAGCAGCATCTGTAGCGAGGCCTTACAATCAGAGTTCAAACAACACGATGAGGTGGGCCGTGCAGATCCGATTGTGAGTATTATTTTCACAATACATACTGCATAAGTCAGATTTGTATTTGTCTTTGTCTTAGTCTGCTCAACTGGACACACCTACAGATGACCCAGAAGCTCTCAGTAAACCAAAAGGGCCCTGTCCACTTAGCTGCAAGGTAAACGCTTCCTCTACATCCTCACTACAGCGGTCACACCATGTCTTATATGAATCCTCATTCCCGGTATGTTGTTGTTCACAGGGTCAGAAAGGAGAGAAGGTAAGTGGCAATTGTGTTATCATGTGTTATTGATCAAATAATTATAACTGATGATATGATTGTATCTCATTTCTCCACTGCAGGGCGATGGATTTGGTCATGGTGGCCTGGTATGTTAGACACCAGCAGACCGCTATTTCTTCATTTCTATATTTCCTTCTCGCTAATCTCAGTGGCTCGCCTCATTCTGTTTGAACTCTGACAGACAGTCTTTCTCTCTTGTTAGGAATATTTACCAGGCTAACATCAGTATTATTATTGCTAGTATTAATTAGGGGTAGGGGTTAACAATATTAGCATGACAGATGATACATGGCATCATAACTGTGAATTTTGCATAGTGTTATTTTATTTTTTTTATAGTTTTATTAATATTTTGAATTCGATTTTTAAATATATTTTCCGTTTTTATTTGACTTTTTGTTTACCTTCTATTAATTTTGTTTTGCACAGTGTTATTTTAGTATTATTTATCTACTTTTATAGTTTGTATTCATGTTTTGATCAGCTTTTATTTTTATATTTTCAGTTTTCATTTTAATTTTAGTTACATTTTTAGTCATTTTATGTGCTTTTGTCATTGTTATTAGTTTTTAGTTTTAATATTTCTAAATAGTTTAATGTATTTTTTATTTCAGTTTCAGTTTTATTTCAGTTAGTAGTTTTAGTGCTCAAACTCATTTCACTTTGTTGTCAACATTTCTCATTTTCATTTCGTTTTTAGAGTTTTTCATCTAATATTTACAGTAATTTTATTTCATATATTTTAATGTTTTTAATAATCTTAGTTTTAGTTAACGATTACAACACTAGTTTTGCACACACAATGTCTAAAGAAAATGTAAAAATCTAGTGTCTTTCTTGCAGTATTATTTTAAGAGCATTTCTTTTTTTTAATGTTTTTCTCCTGATATAGCGACTCAAGCAAGGCCCGGGGCATTATGATTCATTCTCTCTAAAGGTCAAAGGGGAAAAGGGTGAACGCGTGAGTACATCCAACATCTGAAGCGCTCATGCCGTTCCACAACACAAACTTAAATAAACATAAATAAAACACCCCCTCTCTGTCTTCATAATTACATGTTGATGTTAATGTTAATTACTGGAGCGTTTAATATTTAAACCAAGCCATTCTGTTAATGATGAGATTGTTTTTGTGACTCGGTTGTTGTTTTAGTAGATTAAAGGATTAAATCTAATTATTAATATCACAGATCTCTCTCTGTACGGGGTGCTATTCATACTTTGCTTTTTTTTCTTCCTGTTATCTCTTTGAGAAGGCGACACATGAAAGCACTTGTCATATCAAAGCGACTCTTTTAAATAACAAATGAAATGTGACAGGTCTTGCTAACAAGATCAGTATTGTTATGATGTTTCATTATTTATTTGTGTGATGTGTATCAATGTGAATGTGTGGATTCATATTGCTCTATATTTGCTTTCAAAGTAATATGTGCACTGAAGATGTTCTGTTGTTATATTTGAGCAGTACCAAACAATTTCTGTGTATTTGTGTATATTATATAAGATTGTACTATGTCTGTATCATTCCCACTTTGCATTCATCAGGGTCTTCCCGGAACGGATGGAATTCCGGGTTTACCAGGACGACCAGGTAGAACTGGACCTCCTGGTTCTCCTGGACAAAGGGTAAAGGATGGATCGAAATTCAGTCTAATACAGCAAAAATATGTAACAAATGTAGCTTACTGAGAAGAATATTGTTGATTACAGTTGTGAATGTGCATAAACAATCTCTTAATCTGATTCAGGGGGCGCCTGGAATTCCTGGTGACATGGTAAGTGTCCTATTTAACATTTCACTATATAAAAACAGTGTAGGTGGTGATATTTAAATCGGTATATTCCTGAAATGGTAGTTAGTATACTTATTTAAAACATGTACAGTATGTGATGTCCTATAGTCCTTTGTATATCTTAGTAGGAGAATTGGGAAAGCTGCAATTATCTTTGAGTGATTGACAGAGGGAGTAATGAGGAATGATTATGGCTAGTCAGTGTATTTGCCCCCACTTTCTTTTAAAAGATTCACCCACTTTTATTAAATGTCTCACGTTTTAAACAGTTTGTGATTGTGAAAGTGACTGTGACTATCAGACCAACCTTTTCTTTACATCTCTTCCTATTTCTCTTCTTCACAATCTCAGGGGCCTCCTGGTAATACTGGACCTAAAGGACAGAGAGGAGAGAGAGTAAGTTTAGTAATTGCCAAGCATTTGATATGTTGTATAGTGGGTTTTTTATTTATTTTTTTATTTTTTTCATGTAGGGTGAACCGGGCTATGTTATGGGAGGTATGGAGGTTCTTCCAGGACGTAAAGGAGAACCTGGATCCTCTGTAAGTGATTGTATCATACTATACAGCTGTATTAAATTGTTTACATTGCATAATATGCAACTAATCTACTAAAAATTATAACTGCATTTGGATGCTTTTCCCCCTTGATTAAAAGGGCCCTCCAGGTGCTCCAGGGGTCCCAGGGGTATCAGGTCCTCCAGGACTCCCTGGTTTGTCTGGGCCTCCGGGTTCTCCTGGACTCTCTGTTAAGGTTAGTATGAAATATGAGGAGTATGCACACATGTCTATATTTTAAAAAAAATCACCTCATGTTAGTTGTTAAGGTTTTTACTGTATGTATATAAGATGTAGCTTCAATGCACAATGTAAAGTTACAATACAAGTCCATACTCACATGCAACGTGTGGTATTTGCAGTATTTTATGGTTTTTCTTCCTCTTAGGGTGAGACTGGAGAATCTGGTCCTAAAGTAAGTCATCTACTGCTCAATGAACAATTTACCATTTAACATTTTATTTAAAATATACATGCAAAATTCGTCATAAATGTGTGATTATGATGCTTCTCACATTCTTCAGGGTCCACGTGGAAAACCGGGTCAGAAAGGAGAAAAGGGGGAGCATGGAAGTAATGTTAGTGCATGCTTTAAGACTTACTTTTTTAAAGCTACTCTGTGTATTGTTTATTAATTTTTTCGATTTAATACTAAAAATACAAACACTTTACTATCCCAGATTAATATGTAGAAACAGCTAGAAGTATACCTCAAAAAATATTTTTCGAAGTTGTAGATAAATAAAACAAAGATTGTTTGTGTAGAAAATACTATTTCAAAATTTTCTGTTTTATATGCAATTTTTATTAATTTTTTTTTGCTAGAAATTTGCAAATTTTCTTGAATGTAAGCCATTAAGTAGGTTGTGTTTTAAATATTATAAAATGAAATAAGTAATTAAATCTTGTGGATGTGTTTTCCTAGGGTCTACCAGGTTTACTAGGACCAGTGGGAGTGGATGGACTTCCAGGACTTCCTGGGCAGAAGGGGGAGAAGGTTTGAGAATATCTAAAAGAGTTTCATGTGTAATTTTGTGCTTTCAGCAGTGTTATAAAAGCTATTTTAAGCAACGATTTCCTACAGCTTGCCCAAGGCAGTTAAAATGCATAAATTAAATCTCTCTGCTCATCTGCCTGCTATCTTTATGGAAGTCTCATTGTTTGTAGAGCTGTAAAAAAAAAAAAAAAAAATTGCCCTTCCTCTCTGTCAGGACTGCATGAAGCTAAAATTAGTACAGCTGGTTGTTTGATTGAATTTCTTTTGTGTTCATCATAAAGGGAGAGGAAGGTATCGGAATTCAGGGTGTTCAAGGTCCACTTGGGCCAAAAGGAGAAAAGGTATGTGTTTCTGATGAGTTATATTAGTATTTCATTAAACGTATGCATGGTTCACGGTGAAAAATCTGAAGGGTAATTATTAAGTCAGTGCTAATCAATTTTTCAGGGTAATACAGGACTACAAGGCCCAAAGGTAAGTATGTTGCATTTAAAATCAATGGAGCAGAGTAAAAGACATTTGTCTTGTGCAATGTGTAATTTGTAGTTTCCATATTCATCCAAAGGGCGAAGTAGGAATCCAGGGAGTCCAGGGAATCACAGGCCCTCGGGTTTGTCAAACTATACACAACCATTTCAGCATCGAAGTGTTTCGTCTGTCAATTCGTGCTGTTAAATTATGTCTGTCTTTCACAGAGAATCGCCATGAACCTTTTAACAGATGTCAACCTTAGATGCAATTTTGTTTAATAAATGTTAAGTGCTTCATAATGGCAGGGGTGTTTCACTGTTGTTGTGTTTTTGTCTGTGTTTAGGGGAAAAAGGGTCTTAAAGGAGATCAAGGAGACAAGGTATGACTTTACACAATTTAGTCAGGCACATGTCTTTCTTACTGCTCTGTTTTAACCGATTTGCTCTTTCTCTAAATAAAAAAAAAAAAAACAATCACATGAAGTCAGTGCTTTTGTCTAGTACTGCTGCTGCTCTGTATTTAATAACCTGATCCATAATACATCCTACTTGACTTTTCAACATGTTCAAAAATGTACAGTCAGTTCAGATCAGGTCAGAATTTTGTTTCATCATTGAAATATGGAATGTTTTTAAACATCAAATGCACTAAACATAATCATAGGATGCTTCTTCTTAATTAAAAGATGCTCTCTGAAACATTTGATTCTAATTGGTCAATTCTGTCATTCTGTTTTATGTTTTATGATACTTAAGTGTATATTTTACTGGGAAAGTTTGAAATCTCTTGTATCACTCCTCTGGCTCTTTCCTCTCACATAATAGTATAATCTCGACTCAAATCAATATTTCAATGTTCAAAAATGTACAATCGGTTCAGTTCACTAGTATCGTGGTCAGAACCCTGTTTCCTAATTGAAATCTGGAATATTTTTAAACATCAAATGCACTAAACATCAACGTCAGCTTCTTGCTAATTAAAATATGCTGTCTGGAATACTTGATTCTGTGGTCAGATATTTTTGTTTTATGACATTTCTGGCTCTTTCCTCTCACATAATAATATAATCTTGACTCAAATCAATATTTCATGTCCATTGATTTGTATATTTGGTAAGCAGTCATGTTAGAAGTTGGATCATGTATAGTCAGCTAGCTAGTCATAAAAATAAACCTGTTCAGGATGATACAAGACCTGACCACCTTCTCATGTTTATTTTACAATAATGGCTATCTGATGGTACATTCATTTTTTGCAAGTAGGTATTATTTGTTTTCAGTTACATAAACTACAAATAATAAATCCCTCAGTTAGCCTAATCAACAACTTGCTTTGTTTGACAGGGTGAACGTGGGGAAATTGGACCTATCGGGCCTCCAGCAGTTGCAGTAAGTCCATAACTTTTACCTGTTCACTTCCTTGAAAAATAGAAATAGCAGCTGCAGGAAAAGGTCAGATGTGTGATGAACCAGTTAATGGATTTAAATCACTGCACTGCACAAATGCTTTCTTAAAGTCAAATCCTTATTCGTTTGTTCGCTCTTCAAACTCCTCCACTCTGTATGGTGCTGTCGAAGTTCTATTAAGAGCAAGGATGAGCTGTAGATCTTGGGGGAAATTAAAAGAGTCGATTAAGAAAAAGGAAAAACGCCTCCTCTCTGCTCTCTGGCCAGTCATGGACTCCAAAATACACATCAAACTAAGGATCCATTATCGACCTGATTAAAATTGCGAAACATCTGAATGGAGATTTCACCAAATCATGAGACGGCAAGAGAATTACACACATGAAACATTAAGAAATACTATATTGTTATATCCTTCACATGCAACCTTGCCACCGTGTGTCCATTTCTGGCAAATCAGATTTTCAGTTAGTTTCAAATTAAACTTCTGCAGTCATTATTAAACCCAAGGCTTCAGAGAGGAGATCAAGGACACTCTCCAACGATTCGACTCCTCATTATCCTTGGTTCCCTCAGAAACACTATGGCATGATAAAACGTTTGGTTTAGAGCTCTAGCGCACTCTAAAGATGCTCTCAGAGAGCCCACACTAGACATCTAACATCTCTCAAAGCACCTGAGGTCATTCATATTTGCTGAATACTAATTTCATAATTCTTGCAATGATTAGAGGGAAAGTTTACTTTCTCTTTTTAAACTTTAGGGCTTCCCTGGAGCTGCTGGACGAAAGGGTGATGAGGTGAATCTAAACTATTTTCTTCGTTTAACCAAATCTAGTACTTCTAATAAACTACACTGCCCAAATTTTGTGGACTTCCCCTTCTAAATAAGGAGTTTAACTTATTTCAACTACACCCGATATCTAATAAGTGTGTGTAATCAAGCATACAGCAATGCAATCAGCCAATGTTTCAAAACCTACCTTTTAATTGTCCCTGTTATTATTTGATCTCACATTGAGCGTCAATTATGTGTAGTCAATTAATGCATGTAAATTTTATGCAGTTTATCACATCAGCACTTACAACTGTCTACAATTAAACAGTGTGGGATTTGTATTTCTGTGTTTGATTCACAGGGGCAGCGCGGCCCTCCCGGTGACCCAGCAAAAGGGGTAAAACTGATGTCCCAGAATGCCTCAGTGTCTCATCTAACACATTTTTGGTTAAGAATAGACTATTGCTAATAATTCCCCTCACATTTTAGATACTCGGTCCTCCAGGGAAAAAGGGTGCCAGGGTAAGATAATCAAGAATTGGTTTCAAAATGTAAAAAATGTCTTAATATGTGAACAACTGTCTGCACCAAAGCCAGGTCACCCTTGGGTTTTACATCCCAGCTCATGAATGAAATCTGACAGTTATTTCCCCTTGGGTTTCCCTCAACTGCATTGATGAAAACAAGCAGTGCATCCAGCACTTGGACAACTTAAACACGGTTAATTACTGCCATGAGCACAGATATGAAACTAAGAGCTCCCTCAGGTCTGCTTGTCAATGAACACAAAGGAAAAAAAGACTTATAGATTATAATAGATTGCAAAAAAACACTCCAGGGGTAAAATTTATATGATTAAAAGTTTTTAAGTGATGCTTCTAAATAAACCAAACTGAGCTTAAGCACACCTGCCATATTGGTTGTTGGTAGGTTTTGTATTATTTCTAATGGTCATAAGCAGAGATATTTAAGCTTGGTTATCTATTTTTCTCCCTGGACTGTGTGTAAAGGGGGATGTTGGACAAGTTGGGCCACCAGGACCACAAGGAATCAAAGGAGATCAAGGTGATAAAGGTGAAAAGGTAGGTGTATGTTTGCTGTTTTGGATGTGAAAGTATAATTAATTGTATATATTGATTAGCTGCCAGTGTGAATGTACTGATGTGTTGTCTTCTGGGTTTTTGAAGGGCAGTCCTGGATTTGGAATCCCCGGTCAGCCTGGTCCCAAAGGAGAGAGTGGAGAAAGAGTAAGCGTTTATGAGGCTTGTTGGCCTGTAGGAAAGTCTTCACTTCTAACTGTAGGACACAATGAAGAAAACTGAAAAAATGTCCACACAGTAATTTTATAAACCATATATGGAATTGCACTACTGTTTAAAAGTTTGGGTTCGGTAGGATTATTTGATGTTTTAGAATGAATTCTCTTATGCTCACCAAGGTTGCATTTATTTGATCAGAAGTACACTAAAGCAGTATATATTGTATATATATTGCAAATACAAGTACATTTACATTTACATTTATTAAAAGCGACTTACAAATGAGGACAATGGAAGCAATCAAAATCAACAAAAGAGCAATGATATGCAAGTGCTATAACAAGTCTCAGTTAGCTTAATGCAGTACACGTAGCAAGTTTTTTTTAAAATTATATTATTAATAAAAAGAATAGAGCAAGCTAGTGTTAGAGGCCTTTTTAGCTTTTGTTAATTGTATAATAAATAAAAAGAAAACAAATAGATAGAATGCAAAAAGATTCGAAAAAAAAAGATTAGAGAAGCTAGTGTTCGTTTTTTTGTTTGTTTTTAAAGAAAACTTAAATTACTTAAAGTGCAAGTCTAAATAAGTAAACAAGTAAATAGCTACATTTGTTCATAAATTCACATATTAGACAAAAAAAAAAAAAGTTTTAGAATACCCAAAAGAAAAGAAACAACCAATCAAACACTATTTAGACCATTCTGTCTCATTTCTTTTTTTTAAAAATGCAGGGTAATGTTGGACTTAGGGGGAAACCTGGGCCTAAAGTAAGTTTGTTATACTCACATTTACACTCTTGTATTTTAATACCTGTCAAATTCACATTTGTGTATTTTAATACCTGTGGAATTTGATTTGTGAATCAAAGAGAGTGCATAAATGAAATCATTTACATGAACACTTGAACACACAAAACAGGGCAGCGATGGGTCCAAAGGAGAGAAAGGGGAGGTGGGCTTCCCAGGCAACCCTGGTTCTCCAGGACTAAGAGGTAAAGATGTAAGTAAATCCAGAGCCCAGAATGACTGATACAAGAAGGATGGGAGTGTGTGTATATGTGAGCGTGTGTGTGCTATGCATCATTGCACTAAGGATATTAGAGATAGAAGGGTTACTTTGCCATAAAATACCCATTGTTTGCTTTATAATTAATGCTTCATTCATATTAAATTACATGTTCTGCTTTAATGGATTTCAGGGTCTGCCAGGACCGATAGGAGAGATGGGATTGAGGGTGAGAATCAACAACAAGCACAGAGAGACCCATACCTTTACACAATCTTTGTTTTTATTATTTACAGTACTTTAATTGTTTATATACTGAGCTATTATTGATTTAGATCTCCTCAACCTCTCAAAAATGTTACATGTTAATTTAGACATTATTTAGTATGTTTATTATTAAGCTGTTTTTATCTTTACAATGCAGATGATTTCAGGTTTTATTTTTTTACAGGGAGAGTCTGGTTCACCAGGAGAACCTGGAGAGAGAGGTGTTAAGGTATTGTCTCTCTTCTGAACCTCTACTTTCTTTCATTGTTTCCCTCTAATTTTTTCATACGCTCTTTATCTAACATCTCTCTATGTTCAAATCAGATAATCTGTATCTGCCTTGTAATATAACCCTTCCAATTAAAAAACATATTATCCTTTTCTAACACTAGCTATAAAAGCATAAAGTCATAGTCACTTCTCCTCATCTCCAATGTCAGGGGCCTCTCGGTCTTCCAGGACGACCCGGTGACCCTGGGGGAAAAGGCGAGCATGGGAAATTAGGGTTACCAGTAAGCAGCTTCCTTTATTTTACATTCTGTAGAAAGTATTTGATCAATATTTCTCTAAAGCTCTTCCAAAGAGCCAATGAATTATGAACCATAATCGCAAGGATTAGTCAATACCGTTTGATAATGAATGCCCATATATTTCAGGGTCCAGAGGGAAACAAAGGAGAGAAAGGCGAGCCGGTACGTGCTGCTATTAAAAAGCACAAGGATGGTTTTATTTTTATACTCTTTTTTTTGTCAATGTTTCAAGGGACGGTCATGCTCTGTTCTCACATAAGAGAATCTTTTCTTGTCACGCTCTGATAAATTAAAGTGTAGGAGTCACCGTATTAATATTTCATTCTCTGCAGGGAAGGCCGGGACCACCGGGAGACACTCAAGTGAGTTTTACTCTCTTTACTGGGTATTATAATCAAGCAGTTTAACATAAATTAATATGAATGCAATCATGTTATTTTCAGTTGGTTGGTTTGTTACACATGTCAAAAGCTGTCAAGCCTGTGTTGCTCTTTTTTTTTGTCTTTAGAAGCATTTATTTGACTGACTATTTCATGGTTGTCCTTGTTAATGCATATTGTCAGTAACTTCATATTCTCATAATTCTTCTTCCCTAGTTCACCACTTCAGAAAACACCATTCTCACCAGGGCCATTAAGGTAAAAGAAGACATTTAGACATTTTAAATTCTTAAAAATTTACAGATACCAAAAAAAACATGTAGGACCTTTGGTCAATTGTGTATTTGTTGTCTTTAAAGGGTGAACCTGGTGAGCCAGGGCTCCCAGGACTCAGAGGGGAGACAGGACGTCCTGGACCACCTGTAAGTTAGGCTTCCACATTTAATGTACTATATGTATATGTATATATATATATATATATATATATATATATATATATATATAAAACA